TAATTAATATTTGAGTTTTAGTTTTTCGCTCAAAGGTAATCATTATTATTTGATTTTAATTTTTTACTTAAGAATAATGATCATTCAAAAACTCAAAAGCTATACCAGCGTGATTTCCGACGGATCCTTTTCACAGGTAGCGACACCCTAATAAAAGGATTAAGTCCCAAAATTTTTAGGTAAAAATTTCATTAATTTGCGTCAGTATGGCCTTTTCAATTTTAAAAATAATCATTACTATTAAGTCGAAAAATAACACTCGTTAATAATTATTATCTCTGAGCAAAAAACTAAAAATCATAAAATAATCATTATTTGTGATCGAAAAAATAAAAATCAAATAATAATCATTTCCGTTGAGCGAAAAAATAAAAATCAATAACAATTATATTTTTTGAGCGAAAAAAACAAAAGTCAGTACAAATTTAGTTGTAGTACAGATTTAGTATTCGATAGATCTAGATCCAAAAAATTTAAGAGGTAGTTAAGTTCAGACAGAGTTCTATTTATCGGAGCATTAGCACCGTAGACTGTTCTGTTAAGGCCAACGCGAAAGACTTCATAATTGAGGAAATTTCTGCAAGGATCATCAATCTTGACGGAGAGCAGATCAAAAATAAACGAAATGGAAAAGAGAATTCGCCTATTTGTTAATGATAATAGACTTATTAATCTGCACCGTGAATCGTAGGATGGGATTGGGTCAGAAAAGTTAAGAGAGAGAAGATCTTCTGGACTCTTTCCAATCGATTTATGTGGATTACGTGATATGGCCTCCATATAAAATCTGCATATTCAAGTTTCCAACATATGAAAGCAGAATACAAGAATTTATAAGGATCATGCATTTGTAATAATGTAAGCCACCTAGCGCGTAATTTTTTTTTGTAAATTTATTTCCTTCGTGAGGGTTAATATAGATACGTACTAAATTTGAATCTAATCGGTATATTGATGAAAATTTTCCAAATATCTCGACTCCATCGTCCAGTGGTTAACGATTGCCTGTTTGCCTGTATTAAACTCATTTGGGTTCCGGGTCACAGCGACATAGCGGAGAACTGAGTGAATGACGAATTAGCTAGGAAAGATACTCTTAAAACGCTATAGAGAGTGGCTGGGAGTGCCATTGATCACTTGGATAGATGGGACTCATGTCAGGCCAGCAAGCGCTGGGTGAAAACTAGGACATGATCGATGCACAGCGTGTGCTAGGCTAAAGCTGGAGAAATATGCTTTTCACATCCTTACTCAGCTGATCAGCCGAATTCGTAATTACATAACCAGCTCGTGGTGTTTCTTCGACTAAGTATTGGGGACTCCCTCAGTTTTCGAGATATCCGACTGAAATTTGGTAGGTGGGGGTGTGTTTCTATAATGTATTAATCATTTGTCGGAACAGCAAAAATTGGACCACTATAAAATATTTTTAGCTCCCATACAACTGATTGTTGAGATATGAAATTTTTTGTCATTGTCTGTAGGCATTTGTATTACCGGTTTACCTATTGATCATACACAGCAGTGACAATCATTTAGCTCGGTGCTTTATCTGAATAAAAACATTTTTTTAGCTCCCAAACAACTAATTTCAAATGCAGTAATCGGTTGAAGTAAAACTTGCTGATGTTCTTGAAATCTATGAAGCCTTCGGCAAAGTGAAAACAACACCGCCCTTACTTGTTTATACAGTATCGGTCATATCTATAGCACGCCATTTCAAAGTGATATTGTGTGCAACTTATGTTTATTTATTTATTTATGAGAATTTTTAATTAAAATACAGTTCTTTCTCTTACAAACCCCATATAAAAACAAGTTTAACAATTTGTAGAAAACTTCAAAAAAGTGCTACAAATTTTCACCTAAATTACAAACTTTTTTCTCAGAAGTGTTTGAATTTTTCTGAATACACAGTTTTATAGCCCAACCAATTTTAGTCTAATAATGTGCAAGTTTCAAGTTGTTAAAAGTTACCATTGATTTTTTAGAATTTTTTTCGCCAAAGGTGTTGCGGATTTCTTCCATATGCAAATAAATTGAGTTTATTCGTTATATGGAAGCCAATGCGACAAAAAAAAATTCTAAAAAATTAACGGTAATTCGTAGCCACTTGACATTTGCACATTATCAGACTAAAATTGCAGTGGCTAAAAAACTGTGAACTCGAAAAAATTCTAACACTTCCGAGAAAAAAGTTTGAAACTTAGGTAAAATTTGTTGCACTTTTTTGAAGTTTTCTACAAATTGTTAAACTTGGGTTTATATGGGGTTTGTTAGAGAAAGAACTGTATTTTAATTGAAAATTCTTAAAAATAAATAAATAAACATAAGTGGCACACAATATCACTTTGAAATGGCGTGCTATAGATATGACCGATACTGTATATACATAACTATTATTCTAACTCCAAACTAACATTGAAGTTTTTGGAACTACCTGTATCGTTGCCTCTTCTTAGTTGATATTTTAAATGAAGTGCAGTATACTTAAGGTGAAAGAGAGAGAAAACTTCATTCAGCGTACTTCACTTCACTTTACCCATATCACAAACAAACTCCCCTCAAAAGTTTTTGTTTTTTTTTATTTGCTCAATGCAAGTTATTTAAGCGTCGTGCATTCTATGCTTCATTCATTCATTCGCTTGCTATGTACTTTTAAGACCCTAATTAACTAAATCAAAAAAGATAACTTCTTCGAAAATTTTAACATTTACTACATTGCAAACATTGTGGTTGAATTTAAAAATTTAATAAGCCGTTGAAGATAATTTACCTGCAAAAATTAATAAACCACTCACACACACACACACATGTATGGCAATGTGCATAAATCAAAATGTGTAATGCAAAATAAATATTTACATATACATACATATGTACACAACGAATTGCTGACATCGAATGTCGTCCTTGTTGATGCTTTTCTACAACAAGTGCCATTGCGCTACCTTACTGAGTTGAGCAGCAGCAGCAGCAGCAACGAACAATTGCAGTCTTAACAAAAATGAAAATATGTATCTTAGTGAATTGTATTGAGAGGTGCTTTAGTACATATGTACATACATTTGTACTACGTATGTATGAATATATTTTTGTAAGTATGTATGTATGTATTCACACACCCACAGCAACTTGTAAGTGCATTCGTATTAAATGTTGTGTCCTGTCAATGCTTTTCGCACCACAAATTCACATCATTTTTCACAGTATTTCTGAAATATTTTTTTTTCTGTCACGCAAATTGATGCAAACGAAAGCGAAATCGCATTTCTTTGCTTTCTGGTTGGTGCGAAGGCAGCAAGCAGTCAAGCAAGGAATCATACATCAAACACCATGCATTAGGGCTGGCAGTTCTTACCGGATTTTTTGGCTATGCGGCTAAACCGAATATTCGAATAGGTAGTAAAAATACGAATATTCGGTTATACGAATATTCGGCCAAACGAATAGTGTGTTGATATTCGGATATCCGAATAGCGTGTTGATAGTCGGATATTCGATTCTAAAAATTAACGATAAGCAAAATAAAACTTTGTTGTGTTTTAATGAAGCGTTCTATTATTTACTTTTATTTTGAGAACAATTTTACGAATCAGGTGAAAAACGTTTTAGAAAATCCACATATCCTGATTACAAAATGAACGGATATTAAACAAATATCGTATAACAAAATGAACGGATATTAAACAGATATCGGTATAACAACATTAACAGATATTAACCAATTAACCGAATATCCGCATTTTAAATTGAACTGATATTAACCGGATAACCGGATTTTATTTATGAACACGAATATTAAAATGAAAAACCGGACATCAAAATTTACGTATAGTTCCAGTCCTATTATGCATTTACATATACTTATGTACGTACATTAGGGCGCCTCACCAAAAAAAAGTCGAAAAAAATTTTATATATTAAAAGCTTCACCAAAATATTACGATTTATGTGAGCCGAACCGATTTAAAAAGTCACCAAACATCGAGTTTTTATAAAGAAGAATAGTTTTTAAAAATATTTTTGCCAAAAAATCACTTCAGATGGTAAAACAGCTTAAGCTTAAAAGATGTGTGAACATTTCATCATTGGAACGAAACAATTAGATTTAGGAGATATTTTTAAATCGTTGTAGCTCGCGTAAATCTTAATATTTTTCCGAAATATTTTGCCGAATATATTAAAATATAATAAATTGTATAGTAACACCTATTTTTATTTTATTATTTTTTTTTTTGTATGGAGAGAGATGCGCCCTAATGTACCTACATATGTAAGTATTTATTGAATCCTGTGAGTAATGCACATTGCAAGCGTGTGTGTGTATTAATGTATGTATGTATGTTTGTAGAATCAAATGCAAAAATGCAGAAATTTATATGCAAATGAAAATGAAGATGGAAATGTGCACGCGGCTCACTTAAAATAGTTTCATGTGCTTACATGCACAAACACATCGACACACAAACATATGTACGTATATGTATATTTATTTAGAGTAAATACATAGGTTATTGTGTATGTAGTGCTTGTACATATGTATGTATGTATTGTATACATAATTTAGTATGAAAGGGAAAACTTCAGCAGGACAAAAAGGAGCAGCAGCAGCAAATTGTTGGCTTGCTTGTATGTACATACAAAAGTTGGAAACTTACACTCACGTACATGCATATCTGTAAGCGCACACACACACACACACAGTGACACCCACACACACACTACAAAAGCCTAGTACAATATAAATTAAATAGTAGAGAGAAAGAAAAGAAAATTAAAAATTAATTTGAGGTTTCAGTTGAAGTTGAAGAGAAGGGAAAGCAAAGCTAAGCAAACAAACTTGCACAATTTTTTCTCCAACACGCTTAAATGTGTGGCAGAAAATTAAGCAAACAAACAAGCAAATTAATAAATAAATAAGCAAATAAGAAAGCAAACAAACAATAAACAAAAAAAAAAAACAACAAAAACAAAAACCCACCCACTGCACTTTGTAGGTTCTGACAAAGGATAGCGTCACCGTCTCGGTGGATGCAGTGGTTTATTATCGCGTTTCCAATGCGACAGTTTCTATAGCGAACGTGGAGAACGCTCACCATTCGACCAGACTTTTGGCGCAGACTACTCTACGAAACACAATGGGAACTCGGCATTTGCATGAGATACTTAGCGAGCGAATGACAATTTCCGGCACAATGCAGGTGAGTCACACCGAACTCCAATGTGTACATTTTGGTTTTTTTTGGTTCCACCCCACAGCATAAGATCACAGCATCAACATAAGCATCAGCATCAACATCAACGTCAGCAACTGAGTCGGGCATTAGTGTCAGCATCACTGTCGTTTCCAAGCATTCATACATACTATAAGTTGGTACATTAGGGTGCCTCGGCAAAAAAAAAAAGTTGCAGGTTTTCCACCGAATTTATAAAATGTATTATATTCTAATGGCCTTATTCATAAAAAATAAAATAGGTTTATAGAGCTCTATAAAGTGACATTTTCATAAAAATTTTCGATTTATAAAGCAGTTAAAGTCTTCTTTATTTTTTATGAATTTGGGCGTAAGGCTTTCACTCAAACAAAATTCGAAAATTATTTAGATCTACGTGAGCTGGACAGATTAGAAAATATCTACCGAACTCCAAAAATCTATTATTTTTTCCCGCTGATAAAATTTTTAAATAATTTTTCGCAAATCTTCTAAGCTTAAACTGTTCTGTCATCTGAGTTGCTTTAAAAAAGTATATATTTTTAAAAAATAGCTTTATAAAAAAAAACTCGATATTTTGAGGTTTTTTCAAATCGCTCCAGCTCACATAAATCTGTATATTTTCGCAATGTATTTTGGCGAAAGTCTTATAAGATAGTAAAATTTGGTAGTAGTTGCACCCTAATGTACATAAATCTAGCAATATGTACTATGTACAAACTTGTGTTTTGCGCGAAAGTCCTTCGCTTCATTTGCCCGCCTTCAAATGTTGCAAATGTAGCACAAATGTGCCCATATATGNGACATTTTCATAAAAATTTTCGATTTATAAAGCAGTTAAAGTCTTCTTTATTTTTTATGAATTTGGGCGTAAGGCTTTCACTCAAACAAAATTCGAAAATTATTTAGATCTACGTGAGCTGGACAGATTAGAAAATATCTACCGAACTCCAAAAATCTATTATTTTTTCCCGCTGATAAAATTTTTAAATAATTTTTCGCAAATCTTCTAAGCTTAAACTGTTCTGTCATCTGAGTTGCTTTAAAAAAGTATATATTTTTAAAAAATAGCTTTATAAAAAAAAACTCGATATTTTGAGGTTTTTTCAAATCGCTCCAGCTCACATAAATCTGTATATTTTCGCAATGTATTTTGGCGAAAGTCTTATAAGATAGTAAAATTTGGTAGTAGTTGCACCCTAATGTACATAAATCTAGCAATATGTACTATGTACAAACTTGTGTTTTGCGCGAAAGTCCTTTGCTTCATTTGCCCGCCTTCAAATGTTGCAAATGTAGCACAAATGTGTCCATATATACATCTACTACTACTACATTTGGCGCCTTTGCATCTTCATCTATGAGCTCCAACAAACAGTAGCAGCTAATGGAGCGTATACCTACGTGATATGGTGTGCCAAAGTTAAAACATCAGTGGTTTGCAGAACTACGAACATACAGACATGCCTTCATTTACTTGGTTGTGATGTGTGTTTTTGCACGTAAAGGGTACGCGCAGAGCTAGGCTTGAGGTAAGCAAATGGCAACTTGAGCATGGCAGCTGAAGAAAGTTCATATCCTACATATGTATGTATGTTGATACAAAGTTGCGACCGCGGCCGCCGGAGAATGCAAGTAAATGTGTGTAAATGCTACCCTGTAGGGAAAGTCACTAAACTCGGAAGTATCTCACGTCTGGATTTCGGAATTTGAATACAGTACTAATGGACAAAAGCCTAAATATTTAGATTTCTATTTTTGGTAGGCTGCAATATAGAAATCTATTGTGCCATCCACTCTTTACAACTGATCTTGTAAACCTTACTTCCTCGGAAAGTTTAGTAGCGCCTTCAGCGGTCGAGAGCAAGTATAAGTGAATATGTAACCATACTGTGAATGCATTGAGCTCAGACTCCTTCCGCGTTATTTAGAGCAGGGATAACACTGATGGAGTGGCCGCAATGGTTTTCTCTTTGGGCGAGAAACAAAAGCTGCGACAAAGATCATTCGACCATATACCTACTTAATGCAGGAGTCCTTCACCCTGTATCGTCCTATAAGAGTATCTGTAGTTTCTTCCTAGGAAGCTTGATTGGCATTGGGCATCCCTACTACTACGCAGTCCTGACTAGTGAATGATTTTCTCACATTGCGGTTGTCTCCGTATAGATTTTCTCTTGATGATATTTAGACACAACTGGGAAAAGCCGCTTGCTCTCTGGCTAATCTGTCAGAAACCTTGTTTCACTCCATTTTCTTATTACATGGTATCTACGGCAGTTGGGTGTCGTGGAACCGTGCAAAAGAGTTATGATTCAATAATACAAGTTTGGATCAATATTTTCCTTTGTGTCTCCGACTGCCTTGTAGGGTTCCATTTGAGAAGGAAAGAGAAAGCGCGTAACAATTTTATCCCTTTTTGTGAAAAGGTAGTAGGAAAAGTAGTGTGGTAGTGCTGAAATGTTTTTTTTTTGTTTTAACATAAAAACTGAGTTAAATACATATATAAAGCNTAACAATTTTATCCCTTTTTGTGAAAAGGTAGTAGGAAAAGTAGTGTGGTTGTGCTGAAATGTTTTTTTTTTGTTTTAACATAAAAACTGAGTTAAATACATATATAAAGAAAATTCCACTGATCTACACAATAGACAATGAATTAACTTTTTTTTGGTATACTAAACATGCTATATAGATATTCTTCTTCTTCTTATTTGGCGCTGTAACCGCCTAAGCGATTTTGGTCGGGTTCAACAAAGCACGCCAGTCGTTTCTCTTCCGAGCCAACTAATGTAATTCGGAATGCCAAAGGAAGCCAAGTCCTTCTCTACTTGATCTTTCCATCGCAGTGGGGACCACCCTCTTCCTTTGCTACCATCAGCTACCACCAGCGAGATCCGGGTCCATTCGAACGACATGGCAGTACTCGCTGTAGCCAACGCATAAAGGGACGAAAATTTTTCGCAAAATCTTTCTCTCTGATGATGAGTGACTTATAGAATGTGATTTTCGTACGTCGAGAGAGGACTTTACTCCTTAATTGCTTACTCAGTCCAAAGTAGCACTTGTTGGCAAGAGTGATTCTGCGTTGAATTTCGACACTGACATTATTATCGGTGTTAATGCTCGTTGACCGCCAGATCCATTCGCTTTGCTTCCATATCCAATTTAGAAAAAGCAGAACAGACTTCGAGGTTTTGCTACCGATAAAAATTTGTTCCTGAGCGGTTCAGCTCTGCAGCTCTTATTATCTTCTCCAAATAGAAAGAAGTCACATGAAGAGAGTCGCCCTGTCTGAAACCCCATTTAGCGGCGAACGGCTCGGAGAGGTTTTACTCAATTGCTGTTCGCTGAAATCCGATTACCTCTACTTAATAAACGCAGTAAATGTGGTTCCACTGTTCGCATATGTCGGCTTGTTGAAGAGTGCTCCCTCAGAGCAGGTGTGTGAGTTGAGAAGCGAATGCATTGCCCGCCTGCTGTGACTACAGGTTTTTGACCTTAAGCTTACCTAGCATTTTTGGGCGCACATTTTTGCTGCACAGACAGTGGTCCGAGTCGATGTTTGGGCCTCGGAGTGTACGTGCGTCTAAAACACTGGAAACATGCCTTCCATCTATCAAGACATGATGGTCTGGAGACAGCCATGTAGCTTGATGGCTCTTTTTGTGCTTGATCCTAGCACTGCATACTACCATGTTTCGGCCCCGGCGAAGTCGATCAGCCCCAGTCCGTTGTCGTGGAGTCTGAATTTTCCGACGGTGGGGGCAGCGCTCGTATGTACGCTCCAAGCGCTCATAGAAGAGATCCTTGGACGTCTCGTCCTTCTCTTCCGTCGAAGAATGGGCGCAGATGAGCGAGATGTTGAAGAATCTAGCTTTGACGTGGTTTGTGGCTGGACGCTCGTCCACCGGGTGTTGAACGACAGTGCTCGGCGACGGAGTCTCTTTCCCCCCACAAATCCAACACCGAATTTGCGCTCCTTTACATGGCAGTTGTAGTAGACGTCGCAAGACCCCAGAAATTTTTTTGTTTTGCACCGTCCAACGCATTTGCTGGATGACGGTGCTGTTAGCTTTTGTCCTTACGAGCACATCAACCAGGCGGGCAGAGGCACTTTCCTCATTAAGGGTCCGGATATTCAAAGAAAAAGTATAGAATTCAAACAAATCCTTGATTTAAATTAGTTATTAATTTAATTTCGACAATACTTTTCTTATCCCTTACTTTTGAAATTTATTTCAGTGAAACAAATTTAACTTTGAGGCAGTTGCCAACCTCATTAAAAAAAACTAACCTATGTAAAATTGCTTTAAGATCAGGGTACGAAAATAAACTGTGCAAAACAATTCCCATTTGCTCATCGATCATCATATAATTTGTGGTTTTGTACAGTTTTGTACATAGTCAGAAACAAATTGTAAGATTCACTGTCATTTTCCCCAACGAGAAACGTTTGCTTTTCGTTTGTGAAAATTGTACCATAGGGTACGTTTTGTATGTATGCAAACGTTTCATTTACGTGAAAAATATTTTTTTCTGTAAATTTTCATATCCAATTCAATTAAAAAACATGTACTACATACATACATATATTTTTCTCTGCATGATTCATTTCGTTTGTTGTTTCGTTTGTAACTACTAAACTACTGTAGTGTACTATCGGAAAGTGAACTCAGCCGTTTTGTTTTCGTATTGTACCGAACTGTTGAAGTAATAAACGAAACGAAATAGTAACGACAATATAGTTTATTTTCGTACACTGTTTAAAATACGTTACTTTCTTTGGAAAACAAGTGAAAACTATAATAAAAAGTTCTTTTTAAGCATCTTAAGCTCATTTCCGGAAAAGTTTCATATTTCACTAAACCGAAAATAGCTTTTCCTACTGGGCACCTTCTTATAATTCACTTCCACATGCGTACAGTTCTTATTTTCATATTTATAAACTCACATGTATATATGAATGCACATATCAACGCGTACATTCA